GCTAATATAAAAAACGGTTATCACAAATTCGTTGTAAAAAGTATTCAGATCTGTCGTTATCTCAACCCTTCGGGCCCCATGTTGGGCGCCAAAATAGGACTGTCGTGGTTTAACCCGGCTGGCAACTAAGCACCACGCAGCCGCTCGCTCACTCCCCCCCCTCCCCCCTGCGTGGGGGAGAGAATTGGAAAAAAAGTAAGACCCGTGGGTTGAGATAGAGACAGTTTAATAAGAGAGAAGAATAACAATAGTAGTAATAATAATAATAATAATAATAATAGTAAGAGAATATACAGAATATATATAAAACAAGTGATGCACAATGCAATTGCTCACCACCCACTGACCGGTGCCCAGCCCGTCCCGAGCCGCGATCACTCCCCCCGAGCCGCGATCACACAGCTCGAGCTGCGACCACACTGCCCGCGACCGACCGAACGGAACGACCGACCGAACGAACTAACCCCCCCCGAGCATGACGTTATATGGTATGGAATAGCCCTTTGGTCAGTTTGGGTTAGCTGTGCTAGCTGTGCTCCCTCCCAGCTTGTTATGCACCTGGCCGAGCAGGAGAAGCTCAAAAAGTCCTTGAGTAGTCTGAGCACTACTTGGCAACAGCTGAAAACATCAGTGTGTTATCAACATTATTCTGGTACTAAATCCAAAACACAGCACTATGCTAGCTACTGTGAAGAAAATTAACTCTATCCCAGCCGAAACCAGGACAAATTCCTTTTATTAAGTTTTTTGCGCTGTGCAAGAGGCAAGGTACTTGCAAAAGGCTTGCATAGGACCAGAGTTTTCCCTTCTAACTACATGCCCAGCCCAGCTTAGGTAATGCCTTGCCTGGGACATTGAGAAGTGAGGCATAAAATAGTAAAATGGGGAAGACAAGCGTGAAAGAGAACTTCAGCGTTTGGTATGTGGCTGTGTCACTGGTGTGGGTGTCACTTTTAAATGCAACTTCTATACAGAATGTGAGACTTAGACCCACAGAGAAGAGCAGAAATTTTAAGAGCCTGTTACATGATTTTAACAGAGTGATGGATCCTTCTCTGTTGTCTTCGCATGCAACAAGAGGACAAGGTTACTCTAGAAACGCCAATAGAGGCTTCATCATTAATGAATGCTGATATGGAGAAAGTACTGTAAAGACAGATAAACCTGACATAGGTTCTAAACCTTGTTGTCATCTGTGATGCTTGGAAAAATATGAAGCTGGCAACTAAAATCTGTAACACAACTTCTATGCCTTTTTTAATAATGTGGAGATTACGGGGGTGGGGTTTTGTTTGTTTTTCAGAAAAAGTGCTTGTGGTAGCTTTCAAAAACTGTTCGGGGCTCTTCTTTTCCTGAAAGCATGTAACTAATCAAAGGCATTTGGGAGCAGAGTTGTTACAGTAGGTTTTCCTTCAGCATAGGGGACTCTATTTTCTTTGAGCTTTCAGAACTTTGTAGACTTCATAGAACTTCTTAGACTTCATTAGCTGAGGGAAGGATCTTGGAGCAGCGAGGGGGAGGGAACAAATGGCTAAATAATGAAAGTGTTTTAACCATGAAGAATTAACTACTATTTGGTGATGTAGCAGGAGAGCTATTAAAGAGATTTTGGTGTTGAGATTCCACACAGTTCTGATGACTTTATGTGGAAGTTATATGTCAGCAAAGGACTGGGTTTCATCAGCCTTAGCATCACATGATGTATTTTTCATTTCCTGTGAACATACCCAAGTCAATTAACGTAAAGTTAGAGGTTGTTTGCTTTTTGTTACTTCATCTGGCTACTCCTTTCTGTAAGGCAATCAGGACTTCTTTAAAGATGTGATATACAGGAACATGTATGGTTCATAAAAGGAATATGATATAACCAATAATGTGGATTTACTCCAGGAGAATTTGCAGTGCAAGGTTAGCAATTGAAATATTGGCAACATAAAAAATAAACAACAAACCACATAAATAAGCCAAAATCAATTTCCTATTTTTGGTTCCATTAACTGTTCAAATGAATTTGCAGTTAAAGGGCTAGAACAAGTATGTTAAAAATCATGTTTTGTATGTTAGAAAACTCAATGTTTTAACAACTATCACTCTATTAACTATATTAATTTTTGCCTGCATTAGCAAAAATAAATGCATAAAGCTCTTGGCTTCCAATGATAAAATATACAAAAAATAAGAAATAATAAAATGAGGTGATATGTAAATCTTGAATCTGCAAGGTATCCATGAGTGCAGATTTTATACCACTTCTAGTACCAGTGTTTCTCTGTGACTATATAGACACACAGACATTATCTAGTTGCCCATTATTATTTGGTAGCAGTATGTCTTTTATTCTAGATGTTTTGACTTTGACACAGATTTGTCACAGATTCTTTTTGGTATGCACAGTGTTGGTTTGTTAAATTGTAAAAATCTTGTTTTCTATCAAAATGTGCAATAAAGATATAATGTAACCCTTAGATGTATCAATTGGGAATTTTTCTGTCAAGTAAGGCTTAGGTTAGTGAAGAGGGAAACTATTCAAATTCTGTTTTCCGCTTGAAAAACACTAAAAAAGATCCAACCATTTAGGATTTAAGCTTGCCAAAAATATTTGTAGCATATGCATTGATGGTAGATAACATCCTGTGAGAACAGTGACTGGAAAGATTATAAACTATGGGCATGCATATGGAAAGAAGAGGCAACAGAATTTTTTACTAATTTCAGATAACTCAAGAGGAGTATGAGTGCTATATGGCAATGTGAACACTGAATACTTAAGGTGGCCACATATTGAGCACATGTATTTTCTTGGCCTCTTGCTACTTGTGCCTTTCTATTTCCCTGCATGTTGAGATTTCTGTCTGCCCACACTGGGCCAGGTTTTTTTTATGTTTAAAACAATAGAATGATAGTTACACTGATGCAATCAAGTTAGTGGTTGTTTTAACATCTTTTGAAAAGAGGGGAAATGAGTAATTAACAGAATGGGTAGTGGATATGAAGGATGCTGCTTAAATTGTAATTGTTGTTTAAAAACCAAGTAGTTCTATATGTCCAGTATTTTATTAATTTTTTTTCCACCCAACTTGTACAAACTCAAGATACATGATACTCTCAAATACTTTTCCTCTTTAAGGTACCCATATCCTCATCAAAAGGGGTTTAAATTGTTTTAAGACTACTTTTGATTAGAAAAATACTTTTTTGATATCTTGTTAATAATGCTCATTCATAAAACCCATTAAATTTTCACAGTGTGTGATAAAAGTGGGAGATAAATAGATGATTTTTGAAACGGCTGGAGGAAAACAGATGATAGTAAAGTCTAGTTTTGATTTAGCTTTCTCTTATAGTGTGAGACTCGGGATGTTGTCGGATTAAATACTCTCTTTTTAAAATGTATAAAATGTTACCATCCATGTAATTGTATGACAGGCTGGGAGTTCTGGAATGGCTAATTTTTTTTTTCTTGTTTGCCTCTTGCAGTGAATAATAATAGGCTGTTTGGTTTTTTTCCAGATAACCTTTTTCATGCTGCTGTCTGCAGTGTGTGTAATGCTGAACTTGGCTGGTTCCATTCTCTCTTGTCAGAACGCTCAGCTGGTAAAGTCCCTGGAAGGATGTCAGTTGGTGAGTAATAAAAAGCAAGTCTCTTATAAAGGGCAATGGATTTTTATTTTTCATTTGTCTGTTTTTTATACACATATTCCTTTAGTTTTCAAAACAGTGTGTGTTTAGTAGAGCCATCTGTAGGCATTACAACGTGAAAAATCATGTTGGGAAAAGTTTGAGAGTTAAAGTGCTAATGTATTTACAGTGTTTTGTCACCTCAAAAAGTAGGGTGTAATATTAGAATGACTTGCTTCTTAGCATCATGGTACAAATGACTCTTAAACAGAGTAGGTGGAATACAGGCCACATCAAAGCAATGCAGTGGTTACCATCATCTACGAAAGGTCGTGGAGAACAGGAGAGGGGCCCGAGGACTGGAGGATAGCCAATGTCACTCCAGTCTTCAAAAAGGGCAAGAAGGAGGACCCAGGGAACTACATGCCGGTTACTCTCACCTCCGTCCCCAGAAAGGTGATGGAACAACTCATTCTGGGTGTCCTCTCCAAGCAGGTAGAGGAAAAGAAGATCATCAGGAACACCCAGCATGGACTCACCAAGGGGAAATCATGCCTGACCAATCTGATAGCCTTCTATGATGGCATGACTGGCTGGGTAGATGAGGGGAGAGCGGTGGATATTGTCTACCTTGACTTCAGCAAGGCTTTTGACACTGTCTCCCATAGGGAAGCTCATAGGGAAGCTCAAGAAGTGTGGGTTGGATGAGTGGACAGTGAGGTGGATTGGGAACTGGCTGAACGACAGGGCTCATAGGGTTCTGATGCGCGGGGCAGAGTCTAGTTGGAGGCCGGTAGCTAGTCGAGTTCCCCAGGGCTCAGTCTTGTTCAATTTATTCATCAACGACCTGGACGAGGGGACAGAGTGTACCACCAGCAAGTTGACTGATGACACAAAATTGGAAGGAGTGGCTGGGACGCTGGAAGGCTGTGCTGCCATTCAGTGGGATCTGGAAAGCCTGGAGAGTTGGACAGAGAGGAACCTGATGAAGTTCAACAAGGGCAAGTGTCAAGTGCTGCACCTGGGGAGGTTGAACCCCATGCACCAGTACAGGCTGGGGGCTGACCTGCTGGAAAGCAGCTCTGCCGAGAGGGACCTGGGAGTCCGGCCGGATGACAAGCTGACCATGAG